TGGAGGCAGGACTCAAAAGCCTGAATTTTGCCTGAAACTCTCAGACTGAAGAAGTCTCTTGGAAGAGAGACGAAACRTTTCATTGAAGAAGAACCCGTCCAGAAAACCTATGCAATTTTTTTTCCTTTGATTTTTTACCTGGATTACTGAGATRCATCAGGACATCTCAGAATTATAATAATAGGACCTTTATTTAAGAAGAGTTATGATCTCTTAACCATAACTTACCATCTTGTAAGAATGAGATACTATCCTAAACTATTAACTCAGCATCTTTTATTAGATGCAAAGTTATAATTATGGCATTTTTATGGAAGCCCATTTCCGCCACCCTGATTAAAAAAATAAATAAAACTTGTACCTCATAATAATGAGAAAGCTAAGTCATAATAATGAGATAGTATCTCATAATAATGAGAAAGCTAAGTCATAATTATGAGATACAAGTTTTATTTTTTTATCAGGGTGGCGGAAATGGGCTTCCATACATTTTAATGCATACCAAATACCATATAACTAAAATACTAAATCACAGAGTCAAAAATCAGACTAAGTCAAATAAAAGTCAACAAAAACTGGAGATAGTTTCTGGTAATGATGACYTTTTTTAGTGGTGAAAATACCCTACCCATGCATGAAAAATAAATTGAGAATTTTAACTCATAATAATAATAATAATCCTGAAATTCAAAATCACAGCTCTGTGCAAAAGTTTTAAATCATCAAGTTTCCTTGCTCCTGGAGGTTTTGATCAGTTTTTCATTAATTTTGTTTGTAGTTTTCTTGCCCTAATCATATAGCAGTTTTAATACTTAAACATAAATATATTTATTCTGAAAATATTCGTTTTGCTTGAGGAAAAAAAAAAACTAAAAATAGCAAAATAAGCATTGCTTTTTAAGGTTGTTTAAACAATTAAAAGTATGCAAACCGATTATTTTTAGCAGGAGAAAATATAGCCGTTTTTAACAATAACAAACATTTGTTTGATTATTGTTTTTAATTAAAATTATTAATTTATTTAAATACCATCGCCTTCCTCCGGCTCAATCTCCTCAGTAGCCGTTGACGGCTCTTTAGGTGACGGATTGAGTCCAGCATCAACAACTTTATTTTTCCTTTTTTTTTCCATTCATTTTTTTAATCCCCGGGAGAGAAAAAAAGAAGGGAGCACAAGTAAGCGGATCGGATTGTTTACCTGCASAGCGTCAGCCTCATCAAAGTTAGGGCAGGTTTTATCAAAGACCTTCCTCTCGGTGTGTGCCTTTGCTAAGCTCATTCTGCGATACAACAAGTCGGGACAAGACCAGGTCAGTGGCTGGAAAATTTAAAATATTTTAACCCAAAACGATTTACCAGAYAGGGTGGCGTTAGTGCTGAGTTTGAAATGGCATTATTGTTCACACGGGATTATACTTTGAGGCCGGGAGTTGGTGTTTATTTTTTAAAAAGCGACGACTTGATTGTTGTTGTTAGCCAACCTAGCTTGTTAGCCTTCGAGGTTAGCTGGAGTATTTTCCAGGTAAATCTTTTATGAGGGATATTTTGGAAATAAATGCGCATTCGCTTGCGTTTTTAATACTGGTGTGTGTATGTCTATGGTTAAAATAGCAAGAAACTGTTATTTACTAACAAATACTACGCATCTGATGTTAGCRGTTAGCTTAAACTGACGCTAGTAGTGGCTTCGGCTAATTCCTTAGGTCCGTTCCATTTATGTGCCGGCGTAATAAGCGAGCGTGTGTCTGCCGGGCGGCATACTCCGAACGCTCCTGCCCTCGTTGTCTCCGAGCCGGATCGTGCGCTCGTTCACAGTTAAGGAGCACACCCCTTTTCACTTCAAATGTCAAAACACTCATTTTAATGCGTTTTTGTCCTGATATTTTTTAAACACATGTAAACTTGTTTTATTCTTATTTAAATCTAAAGCGTGTAAGTTGTGGTTAGGACTCTGCTGTAACCGTGCTGTGTTGACGGCCACAGGCCTCTGTAGTTACCACCGCCATTTTGTTTTGTTCTCTTAATAAAAATCGTTTATTCCACTTCGCTTCGAGCCTCCTCCTGGCATTTATCGATAAAACAACAAGGTGGGATGAAGAGACGCGATGTCGGCGTGTGAATCCCGGCGGATTTAAAGAGCAGGGAGCAGAAAACCGGGAGCTCGGGGTGTTGAAAAGGCATTATGAAACAACGCAGTCCCCCTCCCAGCGAGAACAGAGGCCCTGTGTGTTTTAAACCAGCTAACCTAAACCTGCACCAGCAGCAGGCTATGACTAAAACCCTCTGGCTGTGGTGTGGGTTATCTATGTAGCTTTGCATAGATTTGTCTCAAAGATTATTCTGGCATTTTTGTGGTGTATTGTTGCTGCAGTGTGGCTTGCTGTTAATCCCTGTACAACATGTAGTTCACCAGCCATCCCACGACCTAATTTTCTAATCTCATCCAGCTATTGAGGCACGGTGCAGTGCTGCTGCCCTGTAACCACCATGTAAAACCATTACTTCAATGCATTGTACATTTCGACAGTTAGGTTTTCTGCGACTCACTTTATGCGTACTGTATTCACAACAGGAGTCGTCTCAGAGCATCATAGAAAATATTCACATACATTATAGATCAGATTGTGTTGAATCGTTTAGTTGCAGTCTCGCATCCTGAGTGGTTGGCGACAGTGGAAAGGAAAAACTCCTTTTAAACAGGAACAAACCTTCAGCTGAACTGAAATGAGCCTCAGGTCACTGGAGTTAGAGAAGACAGGAAACACAGGTTTTTATGTAGTATTTAGGAAAAAAAGTATCTTACAAAGTTTACAAAACTGAGGGCGGGGGG